TCACTTCTTTTCTTCCTCTTGAGCACCCTTGTGTCTCGTTCCCCCTTCGCTCTCCCGCTAATACCGTTCCCTAATAAACACTCTCCCTCCTTCGACGAGATCTTCTGATTTGGAACAGTGTTCTGCCTGCTTGCTTGCTACACAACACGCAAGGCAGCACAACCAAAACACCAAAAATATCGGAATAAGCATGACTCAGTAAAACAAATGTAAAGCGAATGAAAAAATTCCAGGACACCAAAATACTTGACAAAATTAGGTGCCAAAAAGATTAACACAGACGAAAACAGCAAAATCTACATAAGAGAAAGAGTTGAAAATCAAAGTCGAGGCTCAGGCAAATAGGAATAAAAAATATAAGACATGCAACCACGGGGGATAGAAAGACAACGGACTTCCGTGACTCGGGAGTCAGCACAGCATGCCGTCTGTGTGTGTAGGTGAGCTCAACGTGCTCAACACCGCGACTGGTGGCACTACTGACTTCCGTGACTCGGGAGTCAGCACAGCAGGCTGTCTGTGTGTGTAGGTGAGCTCAACGTGCTCAACACCGCGACTGGTGGCACTACTGACTTACGTGACTCAGGAGTCAACACAGCAGGCTGTCTGTGTGTGTAGGTGAGCTCAACCTGCTCAACACCGCGTACGAGCATGAGTCAGGCCTTTACGTACTCAGCTGCCCAGCTACTTCGCGCTGGCAAAGTCGCTCACGCCTGCGTGCGTGCGTGCATGTGTACAACGCGGATGCCGCTTGACGCGCGTCATGCCTTCGCGCACTGAGCTGCCCAGCATACTCGCGCATGCGTGCATGACGCATGTTCGCACGCGCAGTACTCTAGCCTCATCAAGGGGTGCCTGCAAAATGGATCAATAGAACCAGGTAGGCGCTCGCAGTCAGCCAAATATGCTCGCCGTCCTCGGTCGCGCTCCCCGCCAACACCAGGACTGGTTCGCCGACAACGACGCCGCCATTCGAAATCTGCTAGCTGAGAAGAACCGCCTACACAGGGCCTACGTAGATCACCCCACTGATGCCACCAAAGCTGCCTTCTACCGCAGTCGCCGCCAACTTCAACAACGACTGCGCGAGATGCAGGACGCCTGGACTGCTCGCAAAGCTGAGGAGATCCAAGGGTACGCGGACCGCAACGAATGGAAGAACTTCTTCTCCGCGATCAAAGCTGTCTACGGTCCGGCGATGAAGGGCACTGCTCCTCTCCTCAGCGCCAACGGCAACTCTCTCCTGACTGAGAAGACGCAAATCCTACAGCGATGGGCCGAGCATTTCCGAGGCGTCCTCAACCGCCCCTCCGTCATCTCCGACGCCGCCATCGAGCGTTTGCCGCAAGTTGAGACCAACGCGGACCTTGACCTCCCGCCATCTCTCTAGGAGACCATCAGGGCCGTGCAGCAGCTCTCTAGCGGGAAAGCACCCGGATCGGACGCGATCCCTGCTGAGGCCAGAATGTCTATAAAAACGGTCCCGAAGATTCTATTGGCTACGATTTACATTCTAGTATTCTTGCAATTGATTTACGCATACCCATTGGCCTATTTTTATGTGAACCTATCCCAATCGTCTGGAGGCCCTATAAAAACCGAGGAGGATTGACGTTGACCAACCTTGGATCGGAGGACTCCTTCTGGAAGCCACCGCTGCTCCTGCATCGTCTTCGCCGCCCGGATCAAACGAGGCTTGCATCCAAACAAGCCTGTCCTCGCCATAGGACATCCCGCTGTTCCCAAACTGTCAATATCGTCTGCTATCGTTTACAAGTAATTGCCCCCTTAGGAGCTCGCCTTTCTTTCTTACTGGGGACCAGACGGGGCTTAGCATAGCGTTATTAACCCTCGTCTCGGCTAGGGTCGCTACACAACCAGCAACTAGAGCACACCGAAATTTACCCAACAGGAAAATAATTTCAAGGTCAGGCCGACATCAAGGTTCTTCAATTGCCATGAAGGACATATTATTCATGCCCCCGAAAACTACCAAACTGCAAACTTCAATTTTTATATTGTACATATCGTTATTTTTTGAAAATTTTGTTATTATTTTCCCTTAGAACTGAGGTTTTTTTCAACTTAAAACAAACTCTCAATTCGCGCGTTTTTGGCCAACCAGACACCCGAAGCAAATGAAGTCAAAGTGCAGTTGAAATTGACGAGTTTGTTTTAGGTTTTTTTCCTGAGTTCAAAGGGGACTGACAGTACCCAAGGGGCGCTACAATAAACCTATTCTATTCTATTCTACAACAACAACAACAACAACTACTACTACTACTACTACTACTACTACTACTACTACTACTACTTACACTACCACTACCACTACTACTACTACTACTACTACTACTACTACTACTACTACTACTACTACTACTACTACTGCTGCTACTATCACCACAACTACTACTACTACTACTTTTGATTTTACATCCTATTTTACTTCTATTCCTCAGGACCTAGCGATCAAGGTATTCGAGTCGCTTCTACAAAGCAAGTATGGTGAACCGGAGAATCGTCTTTACGCGCCCAAGTCCTTCAGCTCCTGATGCGCTGTCTTAGTACGTACTTCACGTTC